GGAAGGAAGGAAGGAAGGAAGGAAGGAAGGAAGGAAGGGGAATTGAAATTGGAATGCAGTGCGGTCAATGACTAGAAAGATTTTAGGATTGTTGAAAAGTACAACTTGTTTTTCTGTGACATACGACTGAATATTTCCAAAAAGAACCCACCATGCCACAATCTTTGTTTAGGCTTCATTTTGTCAAATTTCAGGTAATGGTGTAGTTCAGTTCTTCCCAGCCTTGGATCGCCAGAGGTTCTTGGACTAAAACTCCCAGAAGCCTTCACCACTAGCTGGGCTGGACAGGATTTCTGGGAGTTGTAGTCCAAGAACATCTGCAGCGCCAAGGTTTGGAGCCACTGGTTTATAGGTTCAAAGTAAAAAACAAAAAAACCAAAACCCTACATATAGAAAACAGCAGCACTGATCAGGGGAAAAGGGTAGGCTGATAGTGGCCTTCCCGTTTCTCTGTTTGTGTGTTTGTTTGTAACTAAAAGAGATTGCAGGGGTCATTTTGTACACTGAGGGTTGAGATAAATTGGAGGATTTGAGGCTAGAAATGAAAGAATTGGGACAATTGATCTGTAGAAGACTTGTTCAGTGTATGGGAATCCTCAAACTACAGAATTATTATTTTTATTTGTGTACCTGGTAGCGTTTCTAGTGATGCATCGAGGTGGCCGTTGTGACTCCACCACCGCTGCTGTCTATTTCCTTGTTCCCTTAAGTGTATCATAGACTGCATTACAAAAGATAGGCAGAAGCTGTTCTCTTTTTTTTCCCAAGGTCTTTCCGCTTTCCCAAAGTTTGATGGGTTTTTGCTGATTTTATTGGAGAATTTGGCTGGTGTCTGAGATGGTCATATTTTTAAAAATCTCTTTTTTCTTTCTTTCTCTCTCCTTTTCCTTTTCTTTTAAAAAAAGGATGTTTCAATGTTGATTGCAATTTCTTAATTGCGTTTAACAGTGATCCCTGCTGGTTCTTCACATTCAGCATCTGTGCAAGCCACGTTCTATTGATGGCCTGTTGTGAGTTCAATGGAACATCATGGGATACCCCTGGCCCGTCGGGCAGCACTGGATGGAGGTGCCTTTAGTCCCATGTACCTGGCATGGTAAGCGGCAACAAAGTGGGGTTAATTTACCTGTGTTCTCAATGCTCAGGGACCCCACCTGTGCAGCAGGGCCACCTTCCACCTCCCCTCCTCCCTTGCTTTGATGCGGCTTTTGCGCCAATTAATTTTGCTGCTTGCTTCTCGTGTCTGTGCGTGCTTTGCTGTTTTGCTGCTTCGTGCTTTCTTCCCCCTGAGCAAAAATTCAAGGTTTCGTTGAATTCTCTGCTCTTTCTCCTCCTCCATGTGCTATTATTGTGATCTCGCTTTAGGTTAACCATTTCTCGTTGGGTTTCACAGCAATTGGTTTGCTACTAGGCTTAAAAGCAAGAGTGGGGGTTGTTTGTTTTTGGTCCATGTTGAAATTGTCCATCCGTTGCAGTATTGGGAGGGATCGGATGTACCGTATTTTTCGCACCATAAGACGCACTTTTCCCCCACAAAACGGGGGTGGAAAGTCTGTGCGTCTTATGGAGCGAAGAAAACAGATTATATTTTCATGTTTTCTTCTCCTAAAAAATTGGTGCGTCTTATGGAGCGAAAAATACGGTAATTCTTGGGATTTTCTCCCCTCCCCACCCCAAGCCTGCAAAGTATAACTATATTCTCTGAACACTGTCTTACGAACAAACCCTGATACGGCAACAAAACTCATTTTCTAGGGAACAGCTTCTTGGGCTCAAAGTAGTTTTGTCTCCGATCACTGATCAGAAATAACAAAGAAGAATCTTGCAGACTGGCTAGGAAGCCATGCCGTGGGCTGCGTGCCATTCCCAGACCAGAGGTTTCCCACCCCTGCCTTGGCATTCTGGGGAGGAGGTAATATACTAGGATTCCTAGGATCGTAGGCTTTCACCACTAAGCTTTGCAGCCCCTTTAAGAAATCCATTACTATCTTCTCCCTGCTCCTTCAAGCTTCCTTCATTAGAGTTGCTTAATTTAGGGGAGGGTGCGGAAAGATGTTTATTTGTGGCTATTGTAAAATGAAATCAGAAACTCTTGCCAATGCGTGTTTCGATTTTTATGATGGGGAGAAACCCCGGAAATGATCAAAACGTGTCTCCCCAGCTGGCTAAAATTGGCTACCCTTCGTTTTATGCTTAGGAAGAGTGTCAGTGTGGATGTGTGTGCTGCATATATGGCACACACAGCCAAAAGAGGGAGATGCTGGCCGCATGGGCTATATGTACACCGCACACGGCCACATGTTGGAGGGTTTACATCTCCGGCTGGACATGGGCATGCCACTTAGGACTGAACATGCACCCCCCTTCTTTCCCACTGCTTTTTCCTCTGTTCACCTTCTGCCTTGACCTTTGCAATGCCCTCAGCGCTGTCGTGAGTGCAATGGGGGGGGTCTTTCTTTCTCAGTGGCAGGGGATGCATGCGCTGGTAGAGCCAATGCAGTTTTTGGCAGAGAAAGAGCAAGCTCCTGCATTTTTTCCCCCTGCAGTCAGCAAATCACATACCAGCCAGCTGCTAAATTCTGCCCTCCTCCCCCCCTCCCTTCTTATAAAGGATGTCACTGTCAAGTTTTGCTCGCCCGGAGCTGAGCTCCAAGGTTCTGCCTCTACAGCATTGCTAGGCTGCCTATCCTGCTCATTTGAAGCCCTTTTTTATTTCTCGGAAGATGGAGAGGGCTCTCTCTTCTCCAGCTTCTCCTTGTTTCCCTTCCAGGAAAGCTGCATCGGACTTGTTCATTTGCAGCTCTTGCGACGTCTCCGTCTTTCAGCGTTTACTTCCTCGAGTGTGTAGCTCCGGGAGCCAGAATCCTGCCTAGAACCTGCACTTTCTAGCTTTAATAGTCTTTGCAAGGGTGGGAGGAATGTGGGTCTCCCCCTCCCCAGGATGTTAGCCTGGTGCTCCCAGCATTCCTCACCGTAGGCTGCTGGTACCTGTAGTCCAGGAACTCAGTGGTTTGTTTACCTTGATTTAAAGTTTTGGGTTTTTTAAAAAACCTCTGCTCTTCCCCTCTCCAAACCCAAATGGTTTACCCATTATCAGTTCTGCCCTGGATCGTGCTGTCAGTAGGCAACCTAGTATCTTCTAGATGTTTGGACTACAGCTCCCATAATCCCTGTCTGTCAACAGTAGGCTGGAGTTGATGCACTAATATGATGGTTCCCAAACTTAGGTAACCCAGATGTTCTTGGGCTGCAATTCCCAGAAAACCCGGCCAGCTCATCTGGTGGCGAAGACTTCTGGGAATAGCAGTTCAAGAACATCTGGATTATTCATGGTGGGGAACGATTGCTCTACTACATCTGGGGGCACCAGGTCACCTGCTCTTAGAATAAGACCAACAGTTAGACCCTTTGTTCTTTGGACAAAGGGAGACATGCACTACATATATGAACCAAAAAAAAAAGTCCACGTTCTCATTAGGAATGAACTATGGTTCTTATTTTTTAGCAATATTTGCATTTCCATTCTCTCTGAACACTGATATCATTAACATCCTATATGGACAATTTCTCATTATGTGTTCCCTGCAAGGAGGGGGGAGATCATTACGAGATGGTCAAGTATTTGCCCCTCTTTTTGGGCTGGGGTTTAACTTTTTTTTTTGGCAAGAAGCCCATTTTATTTGCCCCGATTTGGAAGCGGGTGCCGTGGGGAACCCACGAGGGCTTGAAAAGCCAAACAGGACAGCAATATTGTTTGTTTCGAGCAAGGAGAAGGAAAACCTCTGAAAATCCAGTATTGGAAGTGGCAGGCATTCCAGTTTGTCATGATGCATGGCCTCTGCAGTTACAGTGGTGCCTCGCTAGACAGTTCCCCCGCATGGCAGTTTTTTCGCTAGACACCGACTTTTTGCGATTGCTATAGCAATTCGCAAAACAGTGATTCCTATGGGGAAATTTCGCTGGACAATGTTTGGTCCCTGCTTCGCAAACCGATTTTCGCTAGACGACGGTTTGCTTTTCGCTAGACAGCGATTTTAGTGGAACAGATTATCATCGTCTAGCAAGGCATCACTGTATACCAATGTGTCTTGGTAGGAAGTTGTTTTGGTGAGATCACATCACTCACTGCATCAAGTTCTTTCTTCTCCACCAATGTGCCTTTTGTAGGAGGTTGTTTTGGAGAGGTCACACCACTCACTGCATCAAGTTCTTTCTTCTCCAATATCTTACCGTGTTTGCTGTCCATATAAGCAGAGCAGCACACGAAGAAAATCTTTTACCATCCGTTTTCCTTGTCTTTTCAAAAAATCTGCTCAGCTTTTATTTGTTGGTTTACCATTGTACACACAGTGGTAGTATTGAGGGACACAAGCTGGAGAACGGGTGACAGTATTAAACTGCAGGTTGCAGTGAAATGTTAAGTGTGCAGTGTAAAAAAAATGGAAAACTGCATTTTAAAAAACTGGAGAATTTCTAATATACATGTTCTGCTTGGGAATCGAGGGCAAGTGCCTGGACTTTCAAAATCCAGAGTGAAATTCAGAGTTGGAGAACTTTGGGAGCAGGCTGGATTTGATGTCAACTGTCTTTTTTTAAAAAATCAGAATTCTTTGATGATTTAAATAAAAAAGTAGGGGGGAGCAGGATGGATTTGTTTTAAATCATGATGTCAACTTTCTTTTTTAAAAAAAATCAGATTTCTTTGATGATTTAAATAAAAAAGTAGGGTTTTTTTGTTTAGAATATTGATTTAAATTATGATTTAAATTGTTGTTTTTTTTTAAAGAAAATCATTGATTTTTATCCACCTTGTTAGGGAGGGTTTCTGCTTGCTGTCATAGAAAAATGGATTTGTTTTAAATCATGATGTCAACTTTCTTTTTTAAAAAAAATCAGATTTCTTTGATGATTTAAATAAAAAAGTAGGGTTTTTTTGTTTAGAATATTGATTTAAATTATGATTTAAATTGTTGTTTTTTTTTAAAGAAAATCATTGATTTTTATCCACCTTGTTAGGGAGGGTTTCTGCTTGCTGTCATAGAAAAAAAATTACCTAATGTCGGAGTCACTTCATCCAGATTTGGAGGAGAGGGATTGTTGCTTTAGCGACACTGCAGCTCCTCTCAGGGTGCTGGTATCACCCTCTGGTGTGTCCGTTCCCCCCCCCCCCCTTAGTGGCACTTTTGAAGCTCTAAGGCTTCAAAGCAGCTGATTTTATCCTTTAGAGGAAGTCATATTGTGTGTGCGTTTGTGTGTATGTGAATGAGTAATGAATGACACAGGTGTTCTGTTGCTAGTCGATCAGCATTGGGGTCTGTGAAGCTTGGGGGTGGGGGCCCTCTGTGGGCTCAGGGAGACTTTGGCATGTCCCACCCGGAACCAGTCCCCAGTCAGTCATGCCTTGCTTTGAAAAGCTAGTACTGTAGTAGGGTGTAGGCTTCTGAAGGTCCAGAGATTTTAGATTAGGCATCCTTCAGTCTCGAGAGACAATGGTCTGTATGGAGGACTTGGAGCAGCATCTAGTGTGGCTGAGGAGGCCAATTCGAGAGTGACAATCCCTTCCACAAATACAATCTGTCCCCTGTCCAGCTCCCTGATTTTGCTGCTTTTGTGACTTCCTCTTTGCCTCGGCCTGCTGGACAAGGGTCTCTTCAAATTGGGAGAGGCCGTCTTGCACTGCCTGCCTCCAGGCTGAACGCTCAGAGGTCAGGATTTCCCATCTGATTTTGGTCCATTCCTAAGGCTTTCAGATCCCCTTTTTGGTCCATTCCTAAAGCTTTCAGATCCCGCTTGCAGATCTCCTTGTATCGCAGCGGCGGTCTCCCTCTGGGGCGATTTCCCTGTGCCAATTCTCCATACAGGAGATCTTTTGGAATCTAACCGTCAGCCATTCTCGCAACATGCTCAAGCCAACATAGACGTCGCTGTTTCAGTAATGTATACATGCTAAAAATTCCAGCTCATTCTAGGACTACTCTGTTTGGAACTTTGTCCCACCAGGTGATACCAAAAATGTGTCGGAGACGACGCATATGGAACGTGTTCAGCTTCCTCTCCTGGGAATCGAGTAGGAATAGTCCCGGGATGCTCTTTTCA